TTCAAACTGCCAACCTTTCAGTTAGCAGCCAAGCACTTTAACCAGTGTGCCACCAGGGCTCCTTATGGTTAAGGCAGGTGTAGATAAAGAAATGATGTCTGCTTTTGAGCAGGAGGCTGATTCCCTGGTGCTTCTAAGCTTTAACCAGACCAGATTTTCATCAAGTGTCTTAAGCATCTCCTGCTCTGCTGCAGTATCCTTATCTCCACCCCACTCCACTGGAGGTTCATAATGTGCCTTGCACCCTTTTTCTGAGGATTGAGGGCTTCTACACAAACAGAGCTGTTCTCGGGGAATTGTGAACTCTGCCTTTGCATATCTGTGGGGTAGGCCGGTCCCAAGATAGTGAGGGGGAGATGGGTAACAGCACCGGCCGAAACCAAGGAGGGTGCTCCTAAGGGTGCAGAACTGGGCAGAGCTGGGTGGGGGCAACCGACTTGGTTCACATGTGGCAAAGAGGCCTACCTTCTGGGTCAGCACTTAGAACAGGCGTTGGAGGAGCAGTAGCGATTCTGGATTTGGGTATTCTTCACAAGATTGTGGGAGTTCACCTTTTGGTAAAGGCCAAAGGGAAAATATTTCATCTAAACCAGCTTTTTCAAATATAGACTGTGATCTATTAGTGAGTCATAAAATCATTTTAGTGGGTCTGACCAGCATTTCTTAGAAAAATGAATAGATTAGAAAAGAACAGAAAATATCAACATGCATTGCATGTTGTAAGGGTACAGATTATTTGGGGGAAAGTTTTATTTTCTACACACACACTTGCAGTACTTCCCAGCATTAAAAAAAGAAAAACAAACCCGTTGCCGTCGAGTCGATTCCAACTCATAGTGACCCTATAGGACAGGGTAGAACTGCCCCGTAGGGTTTCCAAGGAGCAGCTTGATGGATTTGAACTGCCGATTGTTTGTTAGCAGCCAAGCTCTTAACCACTGCACCACCAGGGCTCTGCCCAGCCAGCATTTAGGAGCATGGACTTTGGCGTCAGATGGCCTGGGCTCAAATCACGAGACTGCCACTTCCTAGCTGCGTGACTTGGACAGTCACTTCCCTGTACTTCAGCTGCCTCATCTGTAAAATGGGGATAATACCTTTGTCTACCTCACCGAGTTGCTGTGAATATCGACTATGATAAAATGCATAATGTGCTTGGAAGAGTGTGTGAGGAGAGTGGAGCTATGGAAGTGTTAGCTGTTAATTTTATTATGGGAGGGGGGTCACATAAAAATTTTGAAAGCCACTTGTCTTAGTTTCCTAGGGCTGCAGTAACAAAACATCACCAACTGGGTGGCTTAAAACAACAGAAATGTATTCTCTCACAGTTGTGGAAGCTAACCAAACCACGCCCATTGCCATCGAGTCCAAAATCAAGGTATCAACAGGGCCATGCTCCCTCTGAAAGCTGTAGGGGAAGATCTTTCCTTGTCTTTC